GACGGTGGGGGCGGGGCACAGACAAGGGTGGGGCAACTGAACCTCGAACCAGTTTTATTAATGGGGGGGGAGAACCCCCAAATTGGGCAAACATGTACAGAAAGAAGGGGAGGGGAGGGGCGGAGCGGGGGTCCCCAATATCCCCAACGCTCATCCGGTGCCCCCCCTCCATGTCATGGGGTGCTGCCCTGCCCCCCAAGGGTGTGTCGTGTCCCCCCCCCATGGTCCATCAGATACCTGGGTGATGCCACCCCTGGGGTGACACTGTGGGACCACCCAAGGGTGCTGGAGCAATGCCACCATTCCTGGGGTGACACCTTGGGTGCCAAAACCATGGCTGTTGGCCACCCAAGGGACCTTTGGAGATGCCACCATGGTCATGGGACACCCCAGCCACTGGGTGACCAGCCCTAGCCCACTTTGGGCAGGTTGGTGGTCCTCACACCCTGCTTGTAGGTGACATGTTGGCTGATGAGATACTGGGCGGCTTGGGTGGCAGTGGGGGGACCCATGATTGTGACTTTGTGGTTGAGTGTGCCAGGGATGGAGTCACCCTTCTTGGAGATCCGGATCTGGGTGCCTGTCAGCTCCTGGTACTCCACCAAGGTCTTCCCCCCCTTGCCCAGGATGGCACCCACCAGGTTCTCTGGCACCACTATCTCCACCAGCTCCTTGGTGCCCTCAATCAGCTTCTCAGGTGCCAAAAACAAGCTGGTGGCCACTAAGAGAATGGTGGCAGTGGCCACCAGGGCCAAGTAACCATTGGTGGTGGGCAACGAACCCAAGGCAAAGGTGGGCACCACCAGGCTGGCAACTGCATCGTTCGCATAGGAAGCCAAGAGGTTGGTGGCTGCTGCCAGATTCACACCAGTCACCACCACTGCTGAACCCAAGCCGAGCCCCACCGCTGGGTTGTAACCATAACTGGCCAAGGTGTTCAAGGTGGTGCTGATGGCCAGACGTGGCCGAAACAGGTTTTTACCTGCTGCTGGTAAAACCAGGAGCGCTGGTGAAGGCACCCAAAGTGCCAGGAGCACCCGAGATGGCAGCAGTTGAGTGCAAGGTGTCTGTGGAGCTGGAGTAGGGCGAACCGGTGGGATTGGAGTTTGCCACTGGCCTGGTGATGTTGGCATAGCTGACGCTGAGACAACTGTTGTTCTGTGGATCCTCCTGGATCTTGCAGATGATGACGTGGATGGTGACATGGAGCTGGGTGGATTTGCTGTTGACCATCACCACCCACTCCTGGAGCTTGAGACCCTCTGGCTTCTGGCTGAGCTGCACCCAATGTTAAAGAATTTACGAACGTGGGTTTCTCTAGGTTTGCTTTATTCACAACTCAGAGTTGGGCCACGACCGCAGTGAATGGCAACCCTCCAAAAGTTTTCAAATCTTTTATACCCTTCTGCCACCCATTGCCCAATCCAAAGTCTCTGTAATTTTCCAGTCGATTCTCTGTTCTTATATTGATATCATCTATCATCTTATCTCATCCATTCTCCATTCTCATGTCTTAGTTCTTCTGGGAATGGTGGTCATGGGCAGAAAGTCTCCGGTCACCATCATCACTTATCTTCTTACACTTCAAAGGTATCTATGGGTCTCCAGGAAAACTACTCAGGTTATGTTATTAATTTATCTTATTCTAAAGTTAATCACTTACTCTCATGTGTTAGGTCTAAGATATATGATCCTTTCTCTGTTGATTCAGCTTGACTGGATTCTAAGCCAGCCATGAAGCGAGAATCTTATAAACAATTAAGCAACTCATAGATATTGTTTTATATGCACCTGCATTCTATTAATCTTCTCTAACCCAATTTCTAATCATTAGTTATATGTCTAATATGAATAGTCTTATGCAACAAAACAAATAGTCTTAAAGCAATGAGTCTTAAGGCCTAGTTCCTTTTACACCCAAGCCCCCAATTTCTCCATGACAGCCTTTGCTGTCGCCCCCCCC